AAAAATATCATCTACCTATAGCGAACTAATTATATTAATTTAAGAAAAGGTAAACTTCGTTTTTGTCCGAGTATATCAAAGACCTGGAATTCGGAACAGAACGATCTCGAGAACGATAATAATAAATAGCGGGTTATATACGATAGTTTAGAAGCAAGCATTTTGGCCTAGAAAAGATATCAGTTTTAGGGGATGATTTATTAGGGTTTAATTGCACCTGCATAAAGGAGACGAATTGGGTGTCAACTTAATTTTTTCAAATGGAAACATACTAATATTCTTATTTGGGTTTTTTTCCCTATGTTCTATTAAGAATTGGGCACATTTTTCAATCTTGTTGAAATGAAAATTAAAACTTCATTTCTATACAAAACAAGTTTCCAAATTCCACTCGAGCGTTGTTATAATCATCATCAATAAAATCTTCTAATTAAAAACTAAATTCTCAATGTCGAAATTACCTTGTATATTTAATTTTTTCCATCATTCGACGGGTTGTTTAGATCTCGTGATTTCCATTTTCATTCATTATCGCCTATTTTACAACGTCAATATGAATTTATCGTCGAGATATTTTTATGTTGAATTGTTGTTTAAACTGAAATTGACAATAGTTCGCAGAATCGCTATCTACGCCGTTTAGTACCGAAATCTCAATATAAAATTTGTTTTGTGTCTATCTAAAAAATGTTTGGTCTCGTGTTTGGTATACATCGCAACAGTGCTTACTAATTGTTTGGGAAAATGGCATGAACCTTGAATTCCGTTGGCAAAATGGCACATGTTATTTTACGTAACTAAACATGGCAATCTCGACGTTAACAAATATCCTTCATGCGCCGATTAGCAAAGCACCTACCACAGGCAGTTACGCAAAATGCCATTTACTTCACACCTGGAATTTACCTAATTTATGGATTGGGAATAGTGCAGGAACTAGTAAATTTGATTTCTTCGAGAGAAACAGTTACGCATTTTATCTATTTCACGCACCATTCAGCTCAAACTAGCCACCAGAACCACATAAAATTTTATTATTTATCAAACATCGAACATATCGAACTCTAATAGCCAATAAATTGCAACCTTGATTGGAATGTAAACCAAAAAAGTGGGCTATTTATTCTTCAATGACACATTCACGGCAAAGTATTGAGAAATTCAATATGGAAACAAAATGACACAGTGGAAATCAATAGTCCTGAACAGCAAGAAATATTAGATATCATATGACTTCTGTTTCACATTCTAAATAAAATAATAACTTTATATAGATAGACTATGTCGCAGGAAGTTGCCAAGCCTGGTCCAAACGGGTACTATTTTCATTCCGGCTTAAAGCTTTGTTTGGTAACTAATTTATTTCGATTAAAATCAGAAGGAAATGGTCATACCGTGGGCGGAGAGGTGGGTGAGTACCTACAAACCTCGCTACAAACATTAAATAATGAAACTAAATTACAAATGAATGCCTATATTTACGCCGTGTAATGGGTTACTTTTGATGTTCTTTTTTTTTCCGTTGCTAAGTAACATCCAATTACGCCAATAACGGTGACCGTCTCCACACTCACCAAGGTAACAGAAGGGCAGCTACAACTAAATATGCTGAAAACCAGAAGTAGGTCTTTTCGGGTCTTTCTTCTGCATTAAAAACAGACTAACAGCATCCGAACGCAACTGGAAACAGGATGGCGGCTGAAGGTGCGGTAAAGAGATCAAAAATTAATGAACAGTATTATAAAAGTATCATGATAAAAAAATAATTAGGTATCTTACATCATTTTAAATGGCGGTTGCTCGGGCGGTTGCTAACCATTTAACGTTATTTCTAATAACGGGCGATCAAAAAAGGATTGAGGTCGATTTGCCTTTGGAAGTTCAAGTTAAATATGATTTCCCATGTAAACAAAATTTCCAAGGGTGACTCAACAGCACTCTTTTCGGCGTATAATAATACCATAGATTTAAAAAAACAATTAATCTATGGTATTATTAAATTACCTAATATTTTTTTAATCTCAAAAATTCGAATATTTTCATCTCGCTATGGTTATCTAAGATAATTTTACATGGCTAAGGGCACATTTTCCGAGCATTTTTCCTATTTCTAGTTAAGCTTATCTGGTAGATAACCTTTATGTTTCCATGCAAATGAAATGTCAGGTACGCTTAAAGGTAATATGAAAAATCGACCCTTAATTATAATATAATAACATCAAACATCAAAATGATACTGGAGAACGATATTTAGGAAAAAGACGTTTCATACATTAATTTTTCTGTGTGCAATGGCATGTGGTCAACTACACCACCCAAAAAACACCTGTTTAGCTAGCTCAAACAAATCAAAATTGAAACTAAGAATTTTTATAATCTCTCCTCGTACACTTCCAGCATCTGCTACATAGAAAAATCCCAATATTGACCTAAATCAATTACTTGGGTGACTGTAGCCTCGGTCAAATTCCAAAAGATTAACTACACAAATCATTAAAACCTGACGCAATTCTTGGACACAAGAAGAAAAGTCTTACATGAAAACTCTATCCGAGTCGCACAAAGGATTCGAGTGAACACACAATTAATTTATTGACAATGACAACAATTCGGGAAAGAAAGGAAAGCTTGTTTGGACAAATTATTATTTCACACACAGGCGTTCGACAAATGATATAAGAAAATCTGAAAATTACAGTTTTTTTTCCTCTGACAGCTTCTGACCTTCACTTTTCTTTCACACACAAACTTGATGGCAAACAGCATTAATTTGATGGATAAAATGACTAATTGCCGATGGCTGTTCAGACGGTATCAACTTTTAACTTTTAATAACAAGAGAAGGCATCACAGTACACCAACTGCTGACAGACTTTTTCCATAAAACGGACAAACCGCTATAAATCTCTCACATAACTCTAGTTAACTTGCTTCTGAACAAAATTATTATAATAATGGCAAACTCTCGGGCAAACTACGTTTTCAACTAATCAAAACGGGCGGACTACCTGAATGAAAAATAGCATGAAAAACGTACAACAGTCACACCCTCGTTTTTTCTACAACCACTATAAAAAATCTCATTCTGGATCTCTCAAAATACCGCCAATGAAGTGATAACGTCAACTTCTCCTAACTAACTAACAGCGATAAACTTTAAACAAGACAATAGTGCACAACTACAAACAATTCTAAAAGGGAAAATAGATACTGATAATTTATTTATTTATTTTTTTATTTAATTTGCAAAATATGTTTACAGTAATATCAAAAAGCTAAAAATCACAAATTACAAATGCAAATGACACAAAATAACTTAATAAATCTTAATAAATTGAAATATTGTCACATACAGGGTGTCCCGTCATTATTGGTGTTTAAACCGAAATAACTTCTAGAAGACGTGGTTTACACAACAATATAAATACGAATGAGGTATAACACTCGTAGGTATATAAAATACATAACATTCAACAATGACCATTCAAATACAGAGTGGTTTAAGGTTAAGTCGTATGACTTTATTTGACCTATCGATACTTCTCTATTTTCGTATGTGTTATTTAATGAACATTAAATTTGTTTCAGAATAGATTACATTTAGTTCTAGGTAATTTTGAGATAGTTTAGTGTCACGTTTTTGTCATGTGTGTTTACGAACCCAGTAATTTCGAGTTTCATGTTAGTCAAGCTGAGTGAATATGTAAAATAAAACTCTAAAAAGTGACTCTGAAAATATATCGGGAAAATATTGCAAAAAATCTTGTTTTTTTGACCTTTTAAAGTCATTTTCAGTGACGAATAATGGGGTGGCAGTCTCATTTATTTAGAATAGTAATAGTCTTGAAATTCTGAGCATCTAGGTGAGTTACACAGCAATATCAAAACTGAAAAACTCGGGACATATTTTACCTCTCACATTACCTTTTATTTTAGAATTTGAAAAGCGACAACACTGCATGAAAAACGGAGCGGAGTTAATCTTTGGGGATAGCTCTTGGGCGACAGTCTCACGGCGAGTCTTTATTTAATGCATGAAAAGTCTCCCTCTAATTGGACGATGGGCAATAGTATGCAGTTCTGCCAGTAACACTTGGTCCATCGCTCCCAGATGGCCTTAAAGTTAATGCAAAAAGACGGATGGTTGAAGGATTGATTGGATTGATAGTTTCAGAGTTCCTCACTAAAAAAAATGAACAAAGGACAGGCTACAGGTAACCGAGCAACATTACTTTTGACTCTGATTGCACAGTCACTGACCAGAAGAATGACCCTTACACAAGTTCAGTGATTTCATTCAAGAAAATAAGTAAAGGAAACTTGAGAAGAAACTGATCTAAAGATCTAAAGCATAAAATCTGACAGCACGTTGGTTATCTTACTACAGTTGATGTATTCAAAATTTATAAATTCAGGTAATGAATGTACCTCGGAATGTACCCATTTTCTTTTACATAGGTGATACCTCGGGTGATACTGGTAATTCCGAGGACTCTTCATGAATACCTGCCAGCTCACCTTCCAGTATTACTTCGAGTATTAGTTACCCTAAATGTTTTATCCTTGATTATATTATGTACATAGGTACCAGCATTAAATTAAAGTGATGAGAATATAAGTCGGAGGATTTGCAGAGTGGAAAAGTAGAAAGTTGTTCACAAATATTTATATCAAATCATCGAATTAAAAAATAAGATATCAACATTATTTGACTACTGTAATCTACAACATTCCAGGCACGTGGATTCCCATTGATTGATCAATACGATAAGATTACTATATTTACGCCAAAATTTACAATTTATATAGGAATGTTCCATGAGTTAAAACAAATGAAATGAGGAAATACCTTACTCAGCAATTTTGGATGCTATCCAAATGTGCAATTTTTCTCATTCCTTTTGTGCTTTTGAGAATGACCGGCAATATCAAATTAAGTTCGTACTCCATATCAAAATATGCATCACTTAAATAAGAGAATGTTACATAAATCTACTCACTCGTGTGCGACACCCGAATTTTGCGATACACCTTCTAGAAAGGCGTACTCCTGTTGAACAGCTTCATCTTCGTTCTGGGGCAATGGGAGATTTTTAGTTAAATCTGCATTCGAGTCACCTTCACTTTTTAACACTGATTGGTAACCTTCACTATCACTAGAAGATGCGTTACTCGATGGTGACACTGTCGCGCTAGTTGAAGATGTTGGAATAGCATTTCGGGTAGGAGTTAGAATTTGTGAAACACCACTAAAATAAAAAATCATCTTAAGACAATTTGCATTAGATTTTAAAGTTGTTTACTTACAATGCCCAATAAACTGTACAGAACAAAAAAACGGTAATACATGCTAAACTTATCTTCATCTTATCATTAAATATTTGTATTTTTCTAAATACATTTTTATTTAATTTTTGCTTATTTTGACAGTTCACTTCTTAAGTAACCAAAAACAGTCTACTGCGTTTGAAAATCTGACGTGTACTGAACTGACAATCTTTGATGTGAAAGTTGGTAGGATGTTTATCACCATTGTTGGTACTTTCTCTCTGAGCGACATTGCCAAACTTATTCTCTACAGGGTGATTCTTTTCTTATGAAAATGTATGTTTGCGAAATTAAACCACTGCATGTTTTATGTGACCTGCATGAAGAGGGTTTGTAATTTAGTATTTACAGAAATTGCTGTAACATGCTGCGGTTAGAAACACATTATTTACAGGGCGTTCCTGACTTCATGGCGTTTCCGAACCCTCATGTTTATTTTGACTCACTATACTATCAAATATTAAGCCAACAGCCGTAATGTTTAAAAACTTTCAGACATTAAAGATTTTTTTCTGAAATGGCATAAATCGATATCTGGCAACAGGGTCTAGTTTGACATATCACAAACTTTAAACGAGATTGAGGTTAAGTTCAGCGTATAAATCAAATTTGCGGGTTGTTACGTCTACAGTTGTTAAATAGAATTTACAATGCTTGAAGAACTTTTTACTCTTCCTTACGCAATTTTGGAGGTTCCAAATATGAAAATAAAGAAGCCCTCCTGGGTGCAGCAACCCTCCGCAATGGTTATGTTTTCATTAATCTTGGCTTCCTACTTCTTAGTTACAGGAGGTACGTGCTTTTGCGTTATTCTTTCAGTTGGAAAAGTCAATTTCAGGTATTATCTACGATGTAATTGTCGAACCGCCTAGTGTGGGCTCAACAACCGACGAACATGGCCATTCACGTCCTGTGAGTAGATAACAAGTTGGCTTTACGCTTACAACTATTTTCTTAGGTTGCTTTCATGCCATATAGAGTAAATGGCCAATATATTATGGAAGGATTAGCATCGAGTTTCCTGTTTTCGATGGGCGGTGTAGGATTTATAGTATTAGACCACATTCATTCGCCACTCACACCTAAATTAAATCGAATTTTAATTACAGCAGTTGGTTTTATTTGTGTTTTAGTATCATTTTTCACAACATGGATATTTATGCGTATGAAATTGCCTGGTTATCTACAATCTTAATGTAAACTTAATTGTATACAATTTTCATATAAATACATTCGAAATAAAATATCACAAGAGTATTGCAGTTGAGAAATCTGAAGGGGAGATCAAAGAAATACTTAAATCGGTATCAGTCTTGAAAAATAGTTACAATCGTATACGAAATGCACTGAAATTGTATTGTTAAATTAGTGTTTGTATGGTTGATATTACCTAGCAAAGTCGGAAGACTTATCAATTATATGTTCAAATTCAGCAAAAGAAAGTGCTCCATCATCATCTAAGTCGGCTTCTTCTAGAATTTTCTGTATTAAATGTTGCATTTCTGCTTCAGACAGATGATTACTTCCAATTAATCTATCTACAACCTGTTGCAAGTCGGATGTGCCTATCATATCATCTCCGTCAAAATCTACGAATTTATGTAAAACAATAATTCAAGGAAGTAAACGTCTACCAAATATTCTAAAGGCATGCTCTGCTTTCACAGCTTTTGGAGCGGCATCACTAAATACAGACATCATGTCTAAAAAATCCTCGAAGGTGCAATCACCATCGTGACTAGAACTAAACACTTTGCAAATGCGATCACCGAATGGGTTTACTCCCAGTTCAGGATATTGCAGTATTTTCGACATGGGCAATTTCGCATTTTTGTTATGACCGACTTTCTCTGGTGCTAAAGCTTTGAATTTCTGATGAGCACTGTTAGATATGTGTATTTTAGTGAGAGTTTATGTTATACTAACCCACAGTACTTACTACAACACCTCTTTTTTCGTAAAATAAGTCAAATCCTAGAAAATTTGAAATTTAATGTAGAAAAGTAGTAGTGTTGTTTTACCTCATAATCTTGTAGCTCTTCTTCGGAAAATTGACTTTTACTCTGACCCATAATTTAATAAAATTTAGTTTTACTGCATGGTAATTAATCACCTTTGTTTCTTTTCTCTCTTGGAAAATTAATGACAAAGGTTCATTACACTCATACATTTGTGATAATTTTAATACAAGTAGCCATTACTTATACACACATACAATTTGCGGAACTGGCCATTGCATATTTTATACTCATGGAATTTTGCATTATTATTCAAAGCATAGTGTGAAGGAGCAATGCTTACACTCTTCTATAAGGTGTGAAGCCTAAGAATACGCGGTATCCCAGATCGAGTAAGAAAATATACAGACTGCACAAAGCCAACTTTCGCATTTATGGCGGTATTTCTCTGAAAATTTAACTATCGACGCTTCTAGTACGGACAAAATGATGCGCATGCGTTGACAAAAGCAAACCTCGTGCCCATGTTTAAGCGAATCATGTACACGTACTACGTACAGTCATCTACAAAGGTAATGATCGCCGAATAGGTAAACCCTGCTTCATAGGCAACCAACAACCCCTACCTTCCACATCGTGTTTCGTCGATTTCTTCAAGGAGGGGGTACCTACTTCACTTGATTCGACGGGTATCTATCTCACCAGGCCAGACGTGAGGTTTGGTCTTGACATTTTTTAAAAGTTTTTTATTAAATCAAAAATCCGCTCCCAAAAATGTAACCAATGCCCTATCTATTCCCGAATATTTTTTCCAAACGGTTGTTAACATGCAGTAAAAACAACCTGAAAATTCCTATTACTTCCGAAGATATGCCAGAAAAATCGAAACGAAATTTGCGGATTTTGTTATTATTTTTTTCGGATGTTATTTGAACAGACAGAAAAATTAAAAACACTATCTCAGTGCCACTTTTTGAGCTTTACGAGACAGCATTAAGTGACTGTCAGTACAACGTTTCGTTTCGGAGAATCATTAACAAGATTATTTTCTTATATATGGCGAGCAAAAAAAGTACATACTGTATTGAGTAGCATTTTGTATCATGTACGGTACAAACAAAAAATATAAGTTGAAAACTCTGTTTGTTTCAACGGGATGGTGCACTCGCGCACAACGCCGTAACCTTGCAAGATTTCATATCGGTCAAATTTTTCAATTTTCTAGGACATTTGTCCGATGGGTAACCCACAACTACTTATTTACTAAGCAAGCCACACAACCCTTACAATTATCTATCTTTACACTGTCTGAATTAACTGCTAACACTTTCTATTGAAATAAATCAGTTACTTGTTTTGCAAAAATTAAAAGTAAAATTGATACTGTATTAAGGTGTCTTGTTAAAATCCTATTGTACACCTCATACCTTCATCTATAGTACCGTTGATCGCGACAGTCTGGACATATTTTTTGCAGAACACTGAGTCAAATGTCCTTGATGTAAACATGTAAGATTCTCTAAAAAGGGACCGTTATAGTAGGTTTACATTAAGTAACAAATTACCCTTGGTTGCTGTTAGGGCGCATAAAACAGAAGGCGGCACCGGAAATATTTCACATACAGCGGCTAAAGGTGTTGAACAATTAAATAATTTCCAAAAACCGTTTGAATCGAGAACAACACATCTTTGGGTATTTTTAAACCTCGGTTGACCTGGTCCCCATGCTCTAAATGTGAAACAGTCTAAGGAAACGCCTTCTGGAGTAATGAAGCTGGTCCCGTCCGCGTCAATGTATAAACCAACATAGGCTACTTTGTACCAGTCTGTTAGTTTTTCATTAAGAAGTTTTGAAAGTTCCCGGGTGCGTGACGAGCTCGCAATGTTGGCGAGATCCCCACCAAGACTTTGGCATGTTTCAACTGCACTTGTGTAATTCATTTTCTTTTCCAAAATTGTAAATACGCCGAGTCCCCCGACACACACACCAACTGAAAAAGTATGCCGTTTTGAATGTATTGGTAAATGAAAGTTTCAGAATTCCATAACAGAATCCAAAAGCGAGTGGTAGACACTATTGATGTTAATTTCACAATGGACTAGGAAAGAGCTAGAAAAGGGATGTTTACTTATCTACAATTTTCTACCTTCATATCGCCCATAAATGCTATGGTAATCGAAATCTGAATCATCAATTAAGGAGGACGGTGAAGTAAGACAGTCTAAAATTTCGCAATTTGCTTCAGGTTTGCTTCTTGAACCTTTACGTTGCCAATTGAACGCAAACCCACGTTTTTTAACAGCATATTCCGCGCATTGTGCAACGGTTCGAACCCGCACCTTTGCAATGGTTGGACGAATTGATTGCGCGCAGTTTTTAATTTTGTGAAATGGACGAGAGATCGCATCGCGAATTTGAAAACAATCTTGATCACATAAACAGAACTTCGCGAAAGTTACAACAACAAAATACAATGAAAGTTTCATCTCGTTGCGGGAGAAGAAAATTACCAAAGTATTGGAACTTCAACGTATAATGAGGTAACAATAGACCAACAAGTAGAGGAAGTGTGTGTCGGAAATGCATTTCATATACTACTACCATCTAATTACGTACTAAATCGCAAAATTGCAGATTGGTTTGGTTGGTTGCATGTCCCCGTAGCAGTAACGCGAAATTGCAGTTTCGTGTGTACATATGTTTAACAATTTGCATTTCACTATAGCTAACTGTAGTTTTCAAAAGCGTCGTTTATTATATAGGTAGGTATCTACATGTTGGGTCCTCATTACTGTAGGTCCAAGATGATATCAATCGACAGAACTTTTCGTTAAAAATATTGCGTGCAACCCCTGGAACTTCTTCCTCATGTCTTTCGAAGTTGATCTTGTTGCAACTTTATGAAGCCTGCTACCGCGCTTTGATTATCTGGTACCTAAGGTATTCATTTGTTTGCAGTTATTATTTACCACAACAGATTAGTTGAGGTAAATACACCCACAAATGTACAGTACGGACATCAAAATATTTGTAACAATTTTAACTTTAAGATTTGATTGTGGTTAGTGGTTACAGTCGGTATTGTATAAAAACGGTTCAATTTTCTTCCGTAAGTATTATTTTGACGACACAGATACACAATGGTAAGCATATCTTTATTAATAGTTTTTATGTTACCGTTCTATAGGCAGGTCGGCAAAATGTACCCATGGTATGGTTACTTGGTGGGCCAGGAGTAGGCAAGTCGACGCATTTGGAAGAGATTGCTAGTAAATACGGGATCGTTGCGATAACGTCGGGCGAACTTCTCCGGAAAGAAGTAAACAAAAAAGGTCTGTTAGGTAGGTAAATATTTATTATAACAATTTCTAGATTGCTAGAAGAACGTCAAGAGGACGAAACATTTCCTACGTATTGCAAAATAGCGAGCTTGTACCCACTTGGATAGTGTTAGACTTGCTTAAAGAGGAGCTGGAATTACATCCAGGCGCCAGAGGATTCATTTTCGAAGGTTACCCTCGCGACAAAGAGCAAGGTGAATTATTTGAACAGCAAGTTGGTCCTGTGAGTGCAATTTTACTTCTGGACGCCCCTGATGAAATACTAAAACAGAGATCGCTGGTAAAAGCGGTCGGTGCTGGTTTTGTTAACGAGGATACGATTAACAAACGCATTCAGAATTTCCATATTTCTCTCGACTCAATTCAATCGGGATACCAGAGCAGAGTGAAGAAGGTTAGTATTATATTCTTATATGACAGCGGATATTATCTAAAGTAACGTTCCTTTTTTAGATTAATACCCTACCACCACCCAGCGAGGTGGCCAGAGAAATTGAATATCATCTGGATCTCTTGTTCTACTAATTTAAGAAAAATGATCAAGTAAAATATATTCCACTTTATTGTTTTAAATGAAATTGTATTTACTGACCTTTTTAAGTTTTATTAGAGAATTAAAAGAAATGGTAGAATTACTATTTTATTAAAACTAGGTACTCCCCAAACTACAGCTTACATATTTACTTATTTATCTCATTTCATTCGACGTAGTCAATTTTAGCTCAACTCTCTAGCGGTTCAGGTGATGTCAAAAAGATATCAAAATGGTTATTTGAATCGATTTCTTTTGGAAAGCAATACTCTTGGTGCTTAGAATAAGAATTTGGTAACCAAAGGTCGTTACACGAGACCAAACTTTTTACGCCTTAGGTATACGTTTCTGTCCGGTGTGACAATCACTACTTATTCACCTGTTTTGATGGGAGAAAAACTAAACTCAATTTCTATATGTCAACGGAAATTTTTTACAGGTCCAGCCCTAGTTGCTGCATTGAAATAGTATAAAATCAAAGCTATAACTTTGTGATATCGTTTGACTTTACGCTATTTTAAGGGGATTAACTGGAAAGGTTAATGAAGCTTTAAAACATTCAAAATTGGTATAGTTTCAAAAGCAATTCAGAATATTCAGAAATTTCGGAACCTTCAGGCGGTTCTTCAGAATGCACAGAATCCCGTTAATCTTTAGAACCGTCAGAACATTCACATCTTTATTATCTCCTCAATAGTCAATCCCTTCATTATTTTTCTCTTTAGAAACTTCGGATCAATCAGAACCTACAACAATCTTTGATTCTCCATATCTCTAAGAATGTTGTCAATATCGAGAATCTTAAAAATCCATTCAACTTTGATAATCTTCATAGATCAGAAGCTTCGGTACCTTCACAATCTCTAGAATTTTTAAATCTTCAGATTCAGAAATTATCAGAAACTTTGACGACTTTGAGATTAATTTATGCTTTTTTTTTACCTAAAAGGCAGATGCCACTTTAAACCTTCTAATATAATATGGTACCTAAATGGAGAAACTCTAAAACTGCTTCATAAATAAATTCTCTCAGTTAAGCACTAGTACAACAAACAGGAAAAATGAATGCTCACTTTCTAATTAAAATTTTAAACTATTGGAATAATGTAGGCTGTGGGGGTTCTTTGTTTTTGAAAGTTTGATTTGATATCAACTGACTACAAAACCAAATGACAGTACTGTCAAAGAGTAAGTATTCTTTGGTACTTTGCTAAGGCGGGTTGACTACGTGTTGAAAGGTATGCATCTGACGATTTGAGCGTGACGTGGGGGAGTGGAATGGTCACAAAAGAAACATTAGCTAGACATTCTCGAGCGCGTTGGAATTTTTTATTTATTTCGAAGGAAATTATTCAACATACTTCCAGTATCACACGTAGGGTATATGTACCTACACTATCAATAGCGAGTTTGCGGATGTACATTTTACGTTTCAAAACTTGTTATATCTTATAAGGTAAAAAAGCTTAAGAATTATACCGTATAAAGACACTTTTATACCTTATGTTTATAAATAACGTAAACAAATCAAATTCCAGCAACAATAAATTTATCCGCAAGCGCGTTTCACTAAATTTCCCTTACGTTATATCATAAGAAAAAATGACCAACTAACGTAACGCAAAATACGTGTCCGCAAACTCGCTAATATCTCACGCGCTCAAGTATTTTTATGTGGCTATTTTTCATACATTACCCCCCTCCCCAACGGTGGATAGATGTACATCATTTAACTTTTTTTTCCATCTAATCTAAAAAGTTCAATAGGTTCCCTACTATTATACCCTGTGTTATTTTCACACCGCAAGTCTCTTCGAATTACTATTTTTCGACACCACTTATGACGCAAATCTTTTTTCACCAATCAAATTACTTCACCGGTCTAATTAAAATCATTGACAGCTATGAATTAAGTACATTTTAACTAAGTTTCCGTATGTTCAACGGAATCCCACACAACGCAATAACCATAACCAGATAACAGGGAATGCGGGATAGATAAAAAATTTCCTGTAACCTTAGACAATCAGCCATATCTCCCGACTCCTAGGAGACACAACCAGTCAATGCAATTAGAAAGTCAGGTACTTAAAACCACTTGCCCACTATATATACAAAATCGAAAAAAGTGGAAATACCGTTATAATACTCCAATCAAATTTGAAAGTTTTCAAAATTATTCAAATGCTAAGCCTTTCTGTGATTCGCTGTTGATTTATACCAGGTAAAAATGAAAAATATATATTTATTTAATAGATACTTTATTGCTACCTACATACTTCTGATCGTGATAGTACTCGTACTTTAAAAATTTAATTCAAAAAATATGGTTCAAAAATGTGTAATGCACAGAAAGATAACGTAATAAGCTGTGATAAATTTAATAAGGCATCTTTAATTAGAACACTTCAAGATTTCATGCGACTTGCATTTACTTGAAAATCGGATCTAAGTGAAGTTCAATTTGCTTGAACACCACCTCAGGTGCAGGTTCCGAGTCGATCTAAACAGAAAGTCTTAGTTTGTATCTCTCATTGTTAGAATAATACACGTACCCTTTTGGTTTTGCTTTCATATGCAGCGAGGACTGCATCGTTATGTGTATGGAAAGTGTGCAGGCGCTTTTTAATGGTTTCCTCATTGTCGTCGGCCCTGCCAGAAGTTAAAGCACGTCCCAACAGTCTTTTAACTAAGGTGTCATCTGCGGCGTCGATGTATAGTACTATCGTAACAGCTCCAATTTGCTGCTCGAATAGTTCTCCCTGTTCCTTTTCGCGGGGATAACCGTCGATTAAAAATCCTTTTGCGGATGCTGCATTCGACATGATGGCCTCTTTCAGTAGGTCAAGTACAATCTGCCTTGAAACCAATTCTCCTCGTTCCATTACGGCGGATAGTTCTTTTCCTCGTGCAGATCCGCTGCTCACCTAAGATAAGAAGTACGCAACATTAGTACTAAGTAGTAAGAATTTGTATAAATATTTTCAAAATTCCACCTTCTACCTTCTAATTTTAACGATTTTGTACATGCGAATATAAATCAAAAGTTTTTGAAAATCTGAAAATTAACTTTAGTGGACATTCCTAGGGACATTCTGTATGCTTGGTCCCATATCGCGGATCTCCGCGTCTCTCTAATAATATACTCAGGTGCAATGAAACGTTTCCACCTATTAGTCTGTAGTTAATTCATGAAGTATATATTTAACTCTATTTAACCAAAAATGTAGTAAGGAAGCTATGCTCTTTCACTGTACCAACCGCAAGAATTGATTTCACGGCCTACTGCATTTTTTGCGACACTATTTCCAATTGTTTTTTGAAAACATTTGCCTGGTATGATCCTTCTTGGTATTCTAATGAAAAGTCTCACAGCAGGAACGGAGTTTCGCAAGAGTTACTTACAAAGAGCGATTGGAAGGTTTGTACGAAACATATCTATGGGCGATGACAAAGAGCAAATGAAACGTCTGGATGAGACACATCTATTGGTAACGTCAAAAGTTTGAGTGCGAATATACCGAAAATTGAGTGTCAAAAGATATTGTTCAAATTAGTTATATCAATAGTGGTGTAGCAATGATCAAACTATTGTCCAAATAACACGCATTAAGCATGGGCTTTTCATTTAAAATCCTTTACCGCGCTCAATGTGTAAATTTCGTCGGGGTCTGAAAAATGCGCTCCTCTGCATGAGAGTTGTGGACAATTTGCAGTTTGCACTTATTTATTTCTTCTTGTTAAGCTTGATTTCTTCTTCTTCTTATGATGGTTCTAGTGCCGAAGATTTTGCAAAAGCTGTAGCCTTCGTGGAAGATGGTCGAAGTTTGTGATGTATTGCTAGAGTTCTTCGTTGCGCGCATACAGAAGTTCGAAATTGGGTGCAAAGGTTTAGAAAAACTGGTAGGAATACACGAAGGTCGCTAATCTGGTAAGAAACGGAAAACAACAGCTGCTAATGATCGTTTTCGAACACCGCACCTCTACGTCTGCTGAAGGAAGAATGATTCGCAGAGCTGGGTTTGACTGTTTGTAGACCAGCTCATGGACCAGAATTGCTATCGCGTCATCGACCAGGCGGGTGGACAACGAATGTCGAGAAAGCCAGGTAAAAGCTATATTGATTGTACGTTTGTTCCACGAGTAAGTCATAATGGGGGCTAAATCATGGTGTGGTCTGACATTTCATGTGATGCCGGTACGAAACTTGTCTTTGTTAAAGAAGGGTCTTTAACCGCACATCGATACATTAACGATATCCTGAAAGATTATGTTGTTCTATTTGCCCCATTTATTAAAGAAAATTGCATACTAATGCATGATCATGCAAAACCCCATGTTGCAATAACTGTAAATCAATATTTGGATGGAATAAACGTGGTTTAGCTTAAATTTCTAAAGAATTTCTATGAAATTTACGGGATCTGACGATGTACGAGTGATGGGCTTTCGAACAGAGGCAACTGAACATGTTTTTATTCCGAATGATATCTCTCATAGTTTTTCCCATCGCCCACCTCAACATTCTCATGTCAGCCACCCCTTTTTGTGGGCCTTCTTTATTGGCCAGATTTCACTGTTATAAATCATGGCTGGCCGCACTGCAGATTTAAACACCCTTACAATACCTTTCCTAATCCTTCTGTCACGCAGTACTTCCGTCATCTTTTTCCAATTCATTCACCATGCTTGAATTATGTGGTTAATTTCCGTGTCCAGTTTTCCCTTGTCAGTAACGGGTTGAGGTAGTTCTAACCAATCTCTGTTACAGTAGGTTCATGCTCCAAACCACATGTACTCCGATTTTATTCTAGTAATCCTGAGTCCTCCATCCTCGATTGCCTTCCTCCATCTTTCCAGATTTTTCTCCACTGTTTCTCTTTGATCGAGCACTAAATCATCTGCAAACGGGGCTGACCACGACTTCCCCCCGTCCGCACGTCCATTATTATATTAAATAAATTGGTTGATGTACTCAAACTCCCACAGGAAACATATCCTTCAAAGACTTGATCTTACTCTGGTTGTGTGCTTCATTATACATGTCTTTCACCAGCCGCACGTACTTTACTGGCACTCCCTTAACTCTCATACACCTCCACATTTCATCCCTAGGCACCGTGTCGTAAGCTTTCTCCAGATCTATAAAGACTAGGTGTAGTTTTTTTTTTGCTTTTCTCCGTACTTCTCAAGCAGCTGCCTCAAGCCGCACAGTGCATCTGATGTACCGGCATGAAGCCGAACTGTTCCTCCGATTTTGATGCTTCCATTCGTAATCTCCTCTCCATTACTTGTTACCAAACCTTCAAAATATGCAATACCAGTTTTATTCCTCTATAATTCTTACAATCCTGGATCTATCCGTTTTCTTCGTACAGTGGTATTGAGCATTTCTGCTTCATTAAACAAATCCAATAGAAGATCTACACAATCCGCACCCAGATCATTCAATGCCTCTTCTAGTATTCTATCAGAGCCTGACTGTGTTGCTTTTTATTGTCATTAACGCCTCTGCGATTTCCTCACGGTCCTCGTTTGTATTTCCTTCCCCTTCATCAATTCTTTCACGATTTTTATGCAATAATTTACTTAAGCAGTCACACCACCTGTTCCTGATGTTATCCTCACTTCTGAGTACGACTCCCTCACAATCTTTCACTTACCTCGCGCTAGTAAAGTCCTTTGAGGATCATTCACTTGCTCTCCTTCCAATTACCGCGCAAGTGCTAACGGCAGTAAACATTGTGAGAAAGATCGTAGAACCGGGGGGTCTCCTTAACCCTCAGCCAGGAAAGATAGATTCAATGTTTCTTTCCCTACAAATACCATAAGATCCTCGTATATTGGAGGGGGGGGGGGGGATTCTAGTTTTAGCGTTAGCTTTAACATTAGTGTTTACTTACATATTCGTGAAGGCAAAGGTCAATATTTACAACATTAGGTAGGTATTGCTTTTTTTAGCGCATTTTAAAAGAATTTAAAAAAAATGTGCTATTGTTTGCGTTTTGTCCGTCCGGCCGTCCCTCCGTCCGGACCCACTTCTGCCATTTCGAACTACTTCTAGGGGAATGGTTGTAGGAGACATTTTGAAACTAGCACAATTGTACATGCAATCAAATAATTGTCGCAGATAGGTACATACATACTTTACTCTCATTACATTCTCATCATTGCCAAAATCAACCACCTGACATGTTTGTGATTTCGTCAGTTCATCTTGTTAGTGTCATTCATGCACCTACGAAAAATGTTGTCACACTACATGTGACACTATATGCAAAAGTCGTTCAAAGTCCAACAGCACAAATTTAGACACCATGCCGCATTGATTATTCGCAGCCTCCAATATTTTATTTGTCAACTTCTTGTGAGGGTGGCAGATATAACGTAGCATTTTTAGCGCATTTTTGCAAAAAATTTTTTTTGTAAAAAGTAGCTTTTAATCTCACTTTGGCTGGCTGGCTGGTCGGCTGGCTGGCTGCCTGGCTGGCAGTAAATGCGCGCCCGTAGAAAAACGCTTGTAAAAAGACAAGGAGTGTACATGTAACTATCGGGGCCGTGTAATTAAGAACGTTAGGGATGGGGCTACAAGATTTGGAGTCGACGACATCTGGACGCCATCCCCGAGCGTATTATACTAACCTGGAGATTTTTCAGTTTTTATCTATCTTCTTCTACAGTTTTTCTCCGATTGTTTTCAAATTGGTGTCGTCGGGAAGATCTTGTCAACGCGCACAACTCCTGCGTGGCGGAATTTTGTTTTTTTTTCCTAGGGGCGAAATAAACCACCTTTTGCGCGGCGCGCTTCGAGGGGTAGTCGACTTTGGGCGCCCAAAAGTTTCTTACAGCGCGAATCGCGGTCTCTCTTTCTCGTGTCACTAATAGAAGGTCGAGCTATGTGAAGTACCCAAAAGTTGAATACGATTTTATGCCGGGATTTTAGCGAAATCTACCAAAATGTGAATTACGAATGAACGGGACGTCGGAACTGTGTATCGACAAAGGGAATGTGGTAACCCCCGACGAGATCTTACTGATGGTGGAGTCGAAACGGGTGATCAGAAGTGGGTGTCGACAAAGGGAATATGGTAACCCCCAAAGGATTTTACTGATGGTGGAGTCAAAACTTCAAACGCGAATTGCAAGTGCACGGTAAGTGAGAAAATGGTACCGACAAAGTGAACGTGGTAGCTTTCGGCAAGATCTTATTGATGGTGGAGTCAATATTGGCTAATAAAACACTGATCTGCCACACAAAAATGCGCTGAAGTCCCTTCGATCTCACACGAGGACTTTGATCATTTTTTAGGATTCCTAGGGAGTTTAGTTAACATGAAAGCCTATGTGTCTTGGTGTAGGTGTGGTAGGTATTGTACAACCCAATTGTTTTAAGATACAAAATAATATTTACCTCTAATACCTACGTTTTGTTGCACAAGTAAAACCGTGGAAATCAATTACTTTACGATGCGTTACAAATACAAGATAGAGCATACAAATCGATAATGTTACTATGGGCGACAATTCATGACATCGCTTGTGCCATGTGTGCACGTTGTAGTTTTTCATTTATGAATGGATCCTAATCAATTCTACATTAAGATAAGTGCGCTCACATGCAACTAGATTTCAGTCTGAACTATATGGCAAAACATTGTAAATTGGACACAAATAAACACTATACCTACCTCATTTCGTAATAAATCCCCCGATGACAAATGTACAAGACCATATTTTGCAACCATTTTGTCACACATGGTGCCTTTTCCAGAGCCAGGACCTCCAAGGACCCATATGATCGGAACGGAAATGTTAGCCGCCTAAATGGAAAATAAATCTTATAAATAAATCAATCTTAATTAAACAACAAAGCAATCAGCGTCAACATTACATAACAAACTTACCATCCTAATTAAAAGGTGCTCAAAGATCAAATCGAGTAGATCAATACCAGTAGGTTAGCCGGTCAAGTGTACTACTAAAATAATCTTGTGGCGTAGCTCAGTAGGTAGCTGCCAAACACTACTAAACTATTGACTAAGTCCCCCGTAGATAAGACAGTATTTTTAATATTATTAATGCAAAATTTGAGCAGGTCTATTTTTGAGATAACGATCTGGCAAGCTACACCTTACATAATAGTTTCTATTTTCATAAATCCTTTGTTTTCCTAAAATTGCGAACTGGGAAAATTGAATTTGAAACCCTACCTATTTAATATTAATTGCTCTTTGGGTTGAAATTGAAATGTAATGAAAGTAAGTAGTGTATCCAAGCGCTCTAGACAAAAAAGTACATGTTGTCATTGCTGTCACGCTACGTTACAAATCGACGCTACCTAACGAAGTATATCAATTACACAATACTTTGGCAATGTAGGTAGCAAGCGTAACTAACGTTTAGTGCAAATGAATGAATGAAATTGGCGGGCAATTTATCATCATTGATCCTTGAATGAAAATAGAATGGAAATATGAAATCCATAGTTCTAATTATTTAATGTGCCAATACAGAAGTTAGTAATGATGGATGAACACCTGGTTACTCCAAATCTCTTCCCTTACGGAATGTCAAGGAATACAGGTGCATCAGAATGTTTTCTGATATCGATCACGTCGCAATGTTTCCCTTCATCCACATGTCCTCCTGAGTCCTGACCGCCCCTCACTCGGTTGTAGATTGTTTAGTACATAGGTACACTAAATATAAGGTTTTGTCGTTCCTAAACGTTGAATTAATTGGGACCAAGAGAGTCTTCCGTTTATTTATATTCCATAATTTGGTATAACTAGTGTTTCTAAATTAAGGTGGTATTTATGTTTAATATTGTACTGCCCCCATCACCAAATAAATAAATAGATAAATAAAAAATAAAAAAAGAGGAGGAGAGAGGGGGAGAACATCTATGGACATCTAATTATTTTTATGTACAGTTATTGGACCAAAATTCAGTTTTTGTTGTGTACAGTGTTGTTACCTCTTTTCACTAATTAGATTTATCTATTTATGGGAATGCCTCTCCTCTAGTTTTGAACATTCGGTTCTGGTTTTCTGAATATTTTTGCCTGCATAGGGTGGCACGTGAAGCATAATTGTTTAAACCCTCGTTTAAACCGATTAGGACCCAAAAGCACTCATAAATATTAAGTTTAGTCACCAACTTTTCACGTTTCTACTTCCTTCCATCGTATGGATAACTTTATTTTCCAAATTCTTTTGGGCATATTGATATACCGTATCTACTATTCATTTGTAATAGTTGATCGCTTTAAGCTTTCAAGATTTTATGTAGTACCTATTTACTAAATGGCCGGTATAGGAAATCTTATACGTGTACCGCTTCATAACTAAGGAGAACCAACTAATATTCCAGAAAATAAAGCACGTTAAGATAAGAAACGAGAAGATGAAAGTCGAAACGTTACAGTGTTGCCGGTTCTAAAAACCGTCGCTACGGAAGTTAAGAGGGACACTCTGCTATGCCTTCACATGCATAAAAAACAGTGTGAACGCGTGGGTTGCGTTGGGGTCGTTTCGTATTTGGGATTCGGCGAGTACTTAAGTCAAAATTTGGTGGGGGAGCGGCATTCTTATCAAACCTTCGAAGAGAATCTATGCAGGTCGAGTGCTGCATTTTTCGCTCGCGTATTGAATTTTTAGTGAAACCTTCGGGGTAACGTAAGGGCGGAAAATTGTAGATCGCGTAAAACCGGGCCTTCAATGCGAATTATGTGAGTGACACGACGTGCAACCGAAGATTTTCGACGAATTTATTGTAGTGAGTACTTACATTCACTGGGAGTTACCGGCCTTTTGAACAAGATAAATAATAACAGGCTGTTTTTATTCAAAAAAACTTCGTCGTGTAGCGAAAACTAATGGACGACGGATTTATGTTCAATTGGAAATACATTGTGAATAAGTTACTTTCCTAATACGTATATTTACGGGTCATTGCACGACACTTTATCAGCCTGTAACGGGATTTCCCCGTACAGAAACTTAAAAGAATGCGTAAACTACATTTAGGTATACATATAACCTTGACCGTACGAATGCCTATATTTTAGCATTGGAAGTTTTATTTGTATCATTTGTTATGCTCGAATTGGGATATGATAACCGTGAGGAAGCTAAAAGATCATACGCAGAATCTGCGCTAGTTGTCGTATGCAGCCGGACCGTGCGATACCAAACGAATCGTCTTCGTGGAAATACTTGGAAGAACGAAGACCAAACTGAAAACCAAATATCATCTCTATAGAGCGGTAGCAGCGCCCGACGAAAGTTCCAGCAGCATTTTTGATTTATAGAACGAAATACTTATGAATTTCCACAACAAAAAACAGTTCCTCTATTCCGTGACCGGTCCGTGCAAACCCTGCCTGGGAAGCCAACTCCATCCGCACATTGAATCAACGAGAAGTCACGCCTATATTTCGGTTGGTCCGTGTACGTAATTACATCACAGTTTTGGGGGAGGATCCAGATCACTTCACATTGAACTATCCATGAAAGCGCATTGAAAGCTCGTAGTGATTAATCAATCGAGGTATTTATAAACAATTGCCTGCGTCGTAGCTCGCCTCGTTGTAGAATTGACTCCTACCGGAATCTTGCTCCATTGTCGTATTTGTCATTTATAAATATAAATATCGTCAGTACTTAGAGCTCTGTGGTATAACTTTATACAGTGAATTTTTTTAATGTATACATTTGTGCTATGTATACTCAAAATACTTTAAATGACAAATAAGTGCTTTCTCAACCTACCGAAGTGCGCGAGTGCAGTACACTATAACCTCGGTAACAAGTCAGAACACACTAGACTTAAAAAAAGACTTCCGCAAGATGTGCTATTAGGTATCTTAGGATAACGTCCTTGTTACCTAGTTAATTTAGTTACGTATCTAAGGCTACAACTAATTAATAACTAACATCTAAACTATGAATAACATGTAATATGTTGAACTAGTTAGAATTATTAAAAAAAAGACAATCTGCGTCCGCTATGGAAACAGTAACTTGATTTTTTAATTTTAAATTAGGGTTAGCTATTAGTCTTTATTTTTATTATTGGCATCAAATTGTGATTTACCCCATTTATTAAAAGGTAGAGTTCTCTTACAGCAAATGCGATATACTTTAAGAAAAATATATAAGAACCAAATCAACCATTTCATAAACGTTATCTAGATATTATTTATTCATTTACCCTTATCCTTGAGGCTAGAGGAGGGTTATTAACCGCCGAGCAGCCGAGGCATATTTATATAATTACGCAACAAGAACCACGCCCAACTAGAAGAAGTAGGAGAACAGGTAATTTTGTAACATCCGTTACAGGTCGCACCTGTCACTTTGCTAAATGTCTCTGTAACAGATTGACAATAATCAAAAGTTATATAAGAAAATGAATATGAAATTTTATATTAAAATACAATTTCGGGTAAAATAATACAAAACTCATCAGTAAAATGAAATTAGTTAAATCGGAAAAAGTACTCGGCCCCACAGGGGACCTGAAGCAAACGAGTCAAATGAAGTTTCGTCGCTTATTTGAAAAACTGAGCTCTCTGAGTGTTTTGACAAATAGTGTCAAAGAATGACCACATATATTCAGAGTATGGAGAACGTATTAGCTTAGCCTCAATCTACTCGTACTAATAAGTAGAGGAAACGTGCGGTTTAAAAGTGGGCAATAATTTTGCGCTATGGCTAAGTGTTAATTGAAGCTATTTACTTACACAGTTAACATTCAAATTAATTGGAAACACAAAAACTTACCATTATTAAACTTTATTAAAATCAGTTCCTTTTGTATAACAAAATTAATTAATCACCGCTGCTCTACACGTAGAGTAGCTACAACAACCACTAGCAGGATGTAAATAATGAGGCTTGATTACACTGTTACGTCACATTTCACATGAGGACGTATCTGTAATATGAATAGCGTGATTGCTTTCCTAGTTTTAATGAGGAATAAATATCAGTCATAATGTTTGGAAGTGCGCCCTAGTTTCTTGTACCTGACAAATAAGTACTATTTTATTGTTTAATTTTTAAACCTACTATGGACATGCTAATTCTGGTACGTGGTACTATGCCTGCAACTATTGTGCAATTTACTGAATGCATATAATATGTAAGTAAATTTTAAGTAAGTAGATGTACAGAAAGGTTAATTGTGCTATAAAATAAAGTATAAAATATAAATGGCTATTTTTTGAAACGTTAAATATTTATTATATAGCTACTTAAGTTTAACTAGAGTATTATGTAACTAATTCCATTTTTTATTAAAACTAGCGCGACTCCTCTTGCGAAGTTACGTTTTATTTACTAGGTTTAAAAATTATTAGATGGGTACGTGAGGTGACAAACGGTAAAAATGACATTGCTTTTTTATTTTTTGTTGTGCAATTTTTAGCATTTATGGCATAAATTTTAGATGATATCAAGGTGTTCATTTGGTATTTTTTGACAAAATTTGTATATAAATGAAGATTTTGCTCTACCAAGACCTGCCTCATGAAATCAAACCGATTTTTTATAACTTAGATTGAAGTAAAAAGCGGAGAATTCGTTGGTTATAATGACATTTTTTCCATTTCCGGTTTGGTCAGAAGTACCTAACTCCATATTTTTAAATTGAACACCCTGTATAGTTTTTATTTTTAAATACAGAATAAAAACCACGCTAAAAGGTACTAGGAACAATGTCTTTATCTTTAATGGCAAAATAATTGTTTAAAAAAATTAAATAATTAGGTCATTATTATTTTAATTAAATATTAGAACAAAATGATAACCTATTTAATACTTTACTTAAAAGCGATACATAACGATATTGTTGCTAGTATTTTTGTAACGGTTTGTTATTGTGTATTCAAAAATAAAAAATATACAGTGTTAAACAAATGTGCGGGCTATTTTCGTCCAAACCGCAAAAAACGTTAGACTAAGCCCATAAAACTCAACCACAAGCTGTCAGTCCCGATTTAAAATTTCACATCCTCGTTATATCCAACACCCAGGCCTTTACAAATTTTCTTCTTAAGATTAGTTCGATTAAACTTTTCCAAACCTAACCCTTTATACCAAGGTTTAGAAATCGTGCCTACCCCTTTCTGACTCCTTTGTACTTTGTACTAGCAATGTTCAAAATACCCTTAATTTTATCACCATTAAAAAATATTTTTTTGTTATTAATTGCCAGAAACTTTTTCACACGGAAGTTATTATTAAATGAAAAACAATTAAATTCCCAAGAAATGGACTTCTTGTCAATAGCACTTTAGGTAAAGACATATACATGATTATGAACTATTTGCAATAATCAATTTACACAAATTGGCGCCCTTCAGTAAACACACTCAAAATTATCAATTATTAAATTATAGTAATGAAAGAAAATTTCCGAGAGTGGAAATTACCGACAATTACCGTCCTTGATGGACGGTTTTGCTGCATAATGAAACAAACTGCTTGTCAGATATCGACTAGATCGAAGATTGAGAAACGATTGCTGCTTTAAAATCGCCTTGTAATTGATGACTCCGCGGAAAATTTTGAAGATAACGAGTCGGTGGGGCTGTTTTAGTGTAGAAATTTGGTCACTTCGTGCAACTTTTTTATTATCGCAAAATTTAGTGAATACAGTCAAAATTTCACTTATCATCCTACTGATTTTATTTACAAAAAGGGAAAGTTTAGGTTAGTTTTTAATTAATGCAAAAATGTTACTTTACAAATATGATTATTCTTCGTTCAAAACCAAATAATTGTTCTTTTTTCAGTGCGTTGTAATGGCAAGAATGTTTATGCCGCGTCGCACTTTATAGGATCAACGTCGGATTAAGTTCTTTAATTCGATCACGTTACTCAAGACCCGGATTTCTTCTTAGATTTGAAATACTGTGTCATTGTTACAACTATTTTCTAAATAGGACATAAATTTCGCTAAACTGTGTTAAGCACTTTTCACACCAAGATGAAACTTTTATTGCCATGTCTCAACGTTATATTTTGTGCGCTTCTACAAAACACTGACTTTCTTTACAAACTTTGAGCTTCGGTAACTTTCAGAAATTACTATTCCTGTTCAAAACGGATTAACTTTTTGAACAGGGACCTTAAAACAGTCGCTGCTAATCCAACGTGAATAATCGGTGTTCACCCTAACGATCAAAATGCACATCTTTTTTATTATAGGGATCAACTGGTCGCATTTAATGCTAAAACGCAAATGCTTCTAATTATATATTAGATAAGTAGATACGTACACTCACCTTTTTTGCACCGCATATACAGTCTGGACATTCCATTTTTTAGTTACGAACGTATGCCATTACAATTACTTCAAATTTGTGCTCATATACCTGCTTGACAGGGGACGTTCACAGCTGACATCTTTGTGTCAGTTGGATTTGTTCAGAATGGAGTAGCAATTAGTCAGTAACACCGATAATAAGGGGTGTGCGTTTAGGGAAAACATGGTATTTTCCATGAATTGAAGTACAATATCAACACGGTTTAAGCTTTGTAGATTTGACTAAGTAGGTACTCACCTTTACTCCACATTGATGTTTACAAGATGCCATAGTCTTGGTGCTAATGTAACAGGCAGGTAACCAGCTTAATTTATTTGCCCATTTCTACTTATTTAGTACGATCAAGTTTGAAATTGTGGAAAATAAAATGTCAAATAAACAATCGCATTTAGGAAGGGATTTTGACAAGCGGTTGTCATCTGAACTACTTTGTCTTTGAAGTAAATGAGCAAATATGGCTTAGCATAGTAACTAAACTGAGGATGAAGATGGTTAATTCCTTGAAGATATAATGAAAGGAGTGTGTGTAAAGTCATAAAAAGGATTCTTCCAGTTGCCCTTTTAGGATTCTCGTGGCTATGCGCTACAACCGATATCCTTCAGTATCATCAAAGACTATCCGGAGGAGGATAGTCTTTGGTATCATTAAGGGTGCCCGTACACGCGCTGGATTTTGCTGTCGGACCGACCACATAATTTTCGTCACTTTCCGGTGAACTGAAATCCCCATATGAAACACTGTACCATACCATGATACAATAAATATATTTTATTTATATCATGGTACCATACGTACTCCGTACCGATCTCCGCCGAATGATCGTGTCAGCTACTGCCGTGGACCTCTACGATCGCAGCGAAAGGAGGTAACAATGGACTCTACGTTTGACACAGATACATTTATTGACCTCAACTACCAGTGCGGTTCATATGACCGCAAGTCAACCACAAAAATGTTGTTGGAGCAACCACGAGGCCGAGATAACCAAAATGCGGGTCTACTATTTGCTAAAAGGGGACGCTGTCCCGAGATTTGCGTTGGGTCCGTTACGCAAAGCGCGCGTCTTCAAGGGGTAGCCGATTTAAAACGCCCAAAAGTTACCTTCCGCTGCGAATTTTGTCACACGGTTTCTTAAATGAATCACGGTCTCTCTTTCTTGCTATGAGGAGTTCCCCAAAAATGGAGTAATATTTTGTGGAGGGATATTATCAAAATCCACTAAAATAAACCATTTATATGACCGGGGGCGTCAGAAGTGGATAATAGAATACTGATTTGCCACACATTTTTTTATTATCCATTCTAATTTCTTCTCGCACAGGGCTTTTACTGCATTTAATAATCAGTACTTATTAAATGGTAGCTGGGGCTGAAATTACATTGAAAATTCATTTGAACTATCGACCGAAGAAGATATTGAAATGTAGAACAGCCCTTAACACTCAGTGATCATTTACAAGGTTCTCACATTATTCTTAATATAGTTAAATTCGTCGGTTTATTTACATACATATACGGAAAAGGTATAACATGCACTAAAATAATAATTTTGGGTACGTTAATGAAAGTGAAGCAATTCTGGTAATTTCTTGATTTGGGAAGTTTCCTTTAGCACACACGCCAAATTTTAAAAATAAAACACAACATTTTATATCGTGTTATTTCCGTATGATAGAATAGAACGCCTTGCACGAAATGAAATCAAATGAATACTTGAATTCCTTCCATATTACTCATTTAGATTTCGGTCTAGAGAACAGCTATAGCTTGGTGGGTACTATGTTAATCAGGAGTAATGAGAAATGACTCAATATCCCCTACTAATAAATGATGTGGAAACGTTAGCAAACACACTGAGTGTGACTACTTGACGGTGATTCCCGGGTATATTTTTAAGCTTTGAAGGTTCAGTTAGTGCCCATCATAATACATACAAATATATGCTTTATTATGCAGTATATGAACATACATACACACCAAATGCATATATGCATTACTTCTCATTTTTGTTTATTTTATAATTATTGTAGTTGATAAAAGTATTAGATATTGTTGATTAATTGGCAAAACCACATAATATAGTATCAAATAAAGTTATCGTATTCGCTAGATTTATTATAATAAATTTTACTTCAGAAAATTGTGTTGCATATTTGTTTTGGTCCTATACATGTGTCTGAGCTCATAAACCCGTTATTTTGATAACGCCTATAATAAAACATTTTGAAATATCTCGCCTTCTAGGAAAATCGTTGGAAGAGCCTATACTTTAGCGTTTCAAAAATTACTTAGTACGGTGCCGAACAATGTAATTGTGTAAGCAAAGTGTAAAAAAGCTTCAATTAAATATGCAAGTAAATAAAATCAATGAAAATGTACTTTGCGGCGTCTGCGTACTCATGCGAAATACTCAAAAAGAAGGAAAGTTAACCAAAAAATTACATAAATAGATAGAAATCACCACGCACCTTGTCTTCCATATCTCCCAATTGCCACTAACTTGTTTTGCACTCTACTGTTCGTCTTGACCGTGTCATTTTAGGTCGATCGATAAAGGGTTGGATTGAAAGTGTGTCATCTTGTTCAGATTTCAGCACAAATGCAACAAGATGCTTTTGTTTCTTTATTATTCTAAATCGTATTACAATGTTACCTACATAATAGAAGTGAACATAATAATAATAATAATAATACACATTAAGACTAACCTACTACAACTTAATATTAGCTTTTTTAAGTGGTGCATATTGTCTTACTTAGCTAGCATGAATATAAGTATAAAAATATTTTATTCAAACTGGCAACAAGAATATGGTTTGTACTTGCAAAAACTGCGGGAAATTCAAAAAAATTAAAATTACTTGGGTATCAAAGGAATGGCTATTTTCCCTAAATGTAAATCTTGCTACTAGTATTGGAGTTTCAATTTCCGTAGCAGTTTGTGCAAGAGCTCTTACAAACAAAGAAAGGAATGTTAACATCATAAAAAAAAGATGTCAAATTTAGGCACTTGTTCTATTATATTATAGCTTACACCTAACGTGTAACATTCAATGTTACAGTGCGGTACTTACAAGATACCTACGACTAGAGTGCATATTCTTTAATTTTTTGAGAACCACTAACCTAATCGTGCAAATTCTGTCCAGCAGAAAGTGACCGATGTACATAGGTTACCAATAATACTTGTTAGCAATAAACAACATTTATAAATATATTTATTCTATCGGTAAGTGTAAAAATTCTTATACTAAAAATACTGGTTTAGTACGTTACCCTCATAACCTCAAAAATACCACAAGGCACGTGTTTTTTCTAAGACAACTAAACTGTTTGGTATATTATCACATTTCTACGATCACATGTATTTATATGCAGTTTTTAAATATGATTTATTTCACTGTACATTTGCCTAATGTTTTCGCGTCTTTGATTGTCTAGGTCGGCATAATCAGGTTTTCCAACAGGTGTCACTCTGATTGGTTTGTGTCCATTGGCCATGTGACTAACACCGTTTGATATACCGTTGACCATGGCATGTGCACCGTGCGCCAGTCCATTTCCAACCTGATGCACCTTTTTGCTTATCGTTTCTATTGGGTTAGAGGGTATTCTTTCCGGAACGCCGTTGGGCAAATGTCCGTTCGCGGCGTGCGCGTCACTCCCGTTTTGCGTCAGATACTCGACGTTTTGGTCGACCACACTTTTGAAGTCTTGTCTAACTGGGTTCGAATCCGTGTCCCCATCGACCTGTAAGTGAGATCGCTTGCTAAACTATAAAGCGAGAATGGGCGCACTTACGATTGTTAGGCGACCGATGTTATCCATTGCCTTCAGCATGGGTAGTGATGATTGTCGGAAGATTTCCAATCTTCGTCGGAATGCTGTGACGCTGTCGTCCAGTCTTCCTCGTCCTAATTGCAACTTGGAGCAGTCTAATAAGATGACGGTTGGCCGTTGTTTGAACTGTAAATATATCAATTGCTTTCAAACGCGTGAAACGGCGGGTGGAGGTACTGAAAATCATTCTATAAATTAAGAGGTCATATTCCTTTTCAAAAACTGTCAACGTGTACCAATTATGATGTTCAAAAAGTTATATAAGTAACAATTGTCTAGTTGCCTTTTTGTGGGTTAGAAGATCGCACCTAAGATCTTGTGTCGGTTTTAAAATAAAAGTTGTTTTCGCTAAGCATGAGGGTCAATGACCATCTAGCAATCAGCAACACAAGAAAATGTTAAATGTTACATTCGTTTGGCATAACTCGACAGACCGTAGCGTTGGAACAGTGTAGGTTGTAACAGGCTGGTCGCTTTAGCCATTTTTTGGAAAGGGGTGGCTTGTTTTCGACTTTATATCTTGGTAAGGGTAGGGTACACGTCATGTACAATCTCATAGTGAACCAAAGCGGAGTGACTTTTGGAAATAAAGAGCGATAGCATAGTGGGCATTTTTCGATAAGAATGCAGGTTTTTCAGAGAAATGTTGTTTAGACCGTGTGTGTGGAGATTTTGTAGGAGACATGGGGTTCCACTCTGAAATAGTACGCACGTATATTTTGGTGTGAGAACGTTAATAATTTGCATCTAAACTCGCGAACAGTTACTCACTATCTCAGGTGTGGGTGGCTGTCGAAAAACGTTTAATCAAGTCGCCAAAAAGTGTTACCGGTTGTTATTTTAAGGAGAAATTTGCATCCAAGAACATTGCAGCTATCGCGTAATCACAAACGTGCCGCTAAGAAAGGCTTCGTGAATAAATTGTGACAAAACGTCGAGTTACTTACAGGCACGGGTTTACATTGAATTTGTAAGTTCGCCGAATTTGCAGAAATGCCATTCATTTACGATTAGTAAAAAATTTACACGAGGGAACATTTTCGAATTGGAGACACGCGCGCGTAGAAACGGAAATTAATTGTACTTAATTTAAGTCTGGTCTGGTTCGTTGGGTTTTGAAATACTTATGGACATTTTTGAAGGGTATTGACAACTAAGTTAACGTTACGAGGGTGGTACTAAAAGTCAACGGTACCATTGCAGCGGTCTATTTCCATATTCTTGAGTAGAACTGTATTTTCCGAGGATCAATTGTAACATGAAGTCCACGTCAGTTAATTTAAGTTATTTAAAACTTTTTTTGTTTAAGGTAATTTTGACATTCCTGAAGAAATCGACCAATCAGAAACATTTGTATTAAAAGATACTGTATTGCATTTTATTAATTGATAAGAATTAGATCCACACAATCGATTTTTATTGTATAGTAGCCCCATGATGCTAAATGTGGATTTACTCGACGGAAGCCATCACGCGTTCCCGGTTTTTTTTTTATTCTTGATTTGTATTTACAGGTAGTAACCATTTTATTCTTTCTTGTACTAGCTATTAATAATTGAATTTCTTGCTACAATTTGATATTATTTACATTTTGCCGATTTTGCATAAATTACGATATCTGAATCATGGCGTGCTCCATGCCTTTGTTTTGAGTACCGTCAGATGAATCGTGTTTGTTATACTGTACAGATGATTATGCCATTATTTTGTTTAATTAAGTATTTATTTCTGTATTCACGAGGAGTTGATTATTAGTGCGATGTTGCTCTGTCCGATTGATCCGTAACTATTCCGTGAGGGACGTACCTAATACAGTTTGATTGTTCGCTGTATCTGTTACTTTCTGATTCGTGGTGCGCTGCAATTCTTGTGCGTTAGCTATACGAAGGGGGGCTCTCTTATTTGATGTTTCGATGTTTGTGTGTGCGAGTGGTTCATTCTGTCTCCGTGGAGTTGGTACCTAATACAGTTCGATCTTTCGCTGTATCTGTTGCCTACTCGTCTCGTGCGGATTGCAGTTCTTAGCATCTTAGCAATGCGAGTAAGAGCCCTCTCATTAACATTTCCACTATTTAAAATATGTTCTGCTTGAGCGATAATCGATTTTCACATGAATACTTGCTATTGGCCATTGGCATTCTCACATGTAATTTTCGTGTTAAATAAAATTATGTTAACGGAAGGCTGGAAGTAGAGCCACGTCATTTTGATGTTTCCTATGTACATGCAATTTATTATTTTACGAGTTCTGTTATCTCAATTGATCGTACAGGTATTTTGATGTGTTTTTGTACTGAATTGATTTATCATGTTTTCCACTGCATTTTTGACTCTTGTGTATTTTGTTTTTATGAACTTGTTTAATTGCATTTGTTTTGATTATCTGATTTTTATCATACCATTTGAGATGTTTTATTTATGTGTATTTTCTCATGCATTTTATTGCTGTAGGTGATTTATTTCATGTATTTGTGTGGCCTATGCCAGGGTTTTAGTCCCGTAGAAGGTTTCCCTGGCATGATCTTGTTGTGCGCGTAATATATTTATTTGTTCTTGTCATTCCTTACGCACAAAAGTTCTGTCTTTTATTTAATTCCCTTCCCGATTATGCCTCACGTCCCAACAAATACAAGAACCGATTACACAACGTAGTCGTTCATTCGTGCCACCCATATCGAGCCAACTGCCATCCAAATTGAAAAGTGCAGCGAAACTACCATCGTTTCGACTTGAAAGGTAGGTGGCTCTACTTGTAGTCAACGTTTTCAGTGTCGGTTTGATAGACCTCTACAAGTGTCAAATAATGATTGAAGAAAAGATGAGAGAATATAAGTAGTATTAGCCAGAAGACCGTCGACCAATCAGAAGCCTTTGGCAGGCTACGCTTTACACATTCACGAATACTAGTGTACGGCGGCTCTGCATTAGCCACATCGTCGCGTCTTGAAGTTGCACCATAGACACTTTTGCCAGACAAATCGACATCTTGAGTAGACCCAGGCTGCAGGTACTTTATCGTTTATATTTTTCGTGCTGTTAATTACGAGTGCGTTTGTTTATAGACAATAATAATCATTACCTTGAGAGGTTCCACTCTGTCTATACAACTTACGATGATGCACACATTTTTGAGAGCTGACAACTTTGCAATTTTTGGAAGGAGAAAATGGTCTGTGCCGTCTCGGAGAGACCAACACTTGCTATGTAACGGCATTTTAATTCCAACTTTCGTCACGAAAGTATCGTTCCCTCTACGTTTGCTGTTATTTTTGTGTTATTTATTGTAGGTTTGCATTTCTTTATAATTTATCTGTATTCCGTAAACAAAATTATATGTTTTTTTTTTAGTTTTAAATCTCTCATTTGAAATTGACTTGATCACGGGTACGTAAAGTTCCGTTAGCTTTTATTTGAAATCGCGTTCATTTTTGGTGTAAATGTTTGCTCAATTTATGTTTATGTTTCGATTACATGGTCTTGGCCCCAAAGTAAACTTATATATTTGGGCATTCATTTAAATCAGCGAATAAAAATGATTGTCTTTTATTAAACCCATCCTTTTTTTAGTAAAATAGCGCCGCAACTGAAGAAAAGAACCGTTACATTTTAACGACGCAACGTAAGGACTGCTGATTTGTCTTTTGACACATGTACCGGAAGTACCGTTGCAGTTGATGGCAAAAAGGGAAGTTCTCCGCAAGTAAGTATTTCCGAGACGTTAGGCACCTCGAGTATTGTAATGGAAAAGTTAGTAACCCCATATAAAAAATACGTCACACTGTGCTGTTTTTGTAGAACTCAATTTTGGTATTGCACGAAGAGCTTATCAAGAGTAAAATTGAAATAAGTCATTGGCGTATTAAAAAAAGTGCCGATTTATCCTTTTTGAAGATTTCCTAGCCTTTGGACAAAGTACACATTTGGAGCAAGTAGGAAGCAGTAGATTACGATCACCGCATTCTGTAACAAATTATTTGGTTCTCTAGCACAAACATTGGTGCTGGAAACGCTCATTGAAACTAATGTACCTACATAAGATTAGGAGACAATGACGAACTTTACAATTTCGTGTGTTGTATTATTTGTCGTTAAAAGTGAGAAGGCATTAGGGAAACGTAGATCAATAATCAAATAGTTGTTGCTGGAATATGGAAAAATGCATTTCTAGCTAATGGTCAGAACTAGAAAATTACCTTCATGGTTTGCATGTGTGCGCCTTTCAAAGAGAAATAAGCATGCAGGATGATAATGGATTTCAAATTGCTATTAAGTGATGAATAACGTAGGTATAGTCTTCGTTTGTAGGTCAGGGTTGGCACAAGAGTAATAGTCCAGAAAGAAGGTATGGTATGTTTTCCGATATAAGTAGTAGAGGTGAGTTACTTTCTCATTGCGAATGCACCACTAACGTGTGTGGATGGGACTATAAAATAATACCGACCAAACTTACCCTTGCTTCAAATTCCGTCACTTGCTCCATATCTCTGGGATAACCATCAATGATGATGCCGTTAGCCGTAATATTCTCATTTAAGTGTAACTCTAAAATCTTAATCACAATATCAAAAGGTACAAGCTCTCCCGCTGCAATGCTCTCTCGTATTGTTTTAAAATCGGTCGCATTGCGCTGATCGGCTGCTTCAGCGGCAGCTCTCAGCAGACGCCCGGTGCTGACATGGGCCCATCCAGTTTCCCGGGCGACATCGTCGCAGAGAACAGCCTTGTTACTACCAGGTCCTCCGATCACCCATAAAACAGGCGGCCAGCCTTGCTTGAGAGGAGAATTGTACATATTGGTTGGTTTGGTGTTGACCGAGATCACTTGAGTACTGGGCCTTGGTGGTTCCGGCACTGGTGCAGCCTAAAAAACAAAATTGCGTCCATTAACGTGTCTAATGTTATAGTTCCGTTTAAGTAACCGACACGCAATTTTGCGTTCGTCAAATCCGATTGGTTGGATTGCGATCGATTTTATAATTCCATTCATGTACGATCCCAATCTGAGCAGACTTGATAGTATGCAACAAATTTGTATCAAATAAAATTTCACGTGAAAATGCTAGGATTGTTGGATCGAAACCAAAATGGACGGAAAATACAAGAAAATTAAATGAAAATTACGCTGGATTATACATTTATCAGCCATTGATTTTGTATTAGTTGGAATTTTTTATTGCGACACGATATGGACGAATCAATAAAATTTTATTGCATAAATCATTTACCTACATATCTATGAAGAAGTTTCCTTTCCGATATATTTAACTTAGGTTATTTAGAGTGTTATATACAATATTTGTTGCGCTCCATTACTTTATAATGTATTAATGTATCACCATACATGATTGCAGGTTTTTTTACAGAACTCGAACAGCAACGATTTCAACAATTTTCTTTTTAGTTAAGTATGAAATATTTTTCCTAGTGAAAACTAGACACCTTGTCGACAACTTGCAAGCCATCAGTTGTGGAAATTATGATAAGTAAGCTACACTATCGAATAAAAGTCGTTTAGAGGTTGGTGTCGATTTATATACGGAAGGAAGAAATAATCCCCGAGCAGATTGTAAATTTAAGGCATTAGTGTCTTACCATTAGTGGAAGTTCTGTTGTAACGTCCGCTGGAACTTCGGGAATGTGTCCGTTGCTAAATACAGGAGGATTGTCTTGTGTGCCTAAGATCTTCATTATGGCAGCTTTGAAATCCTTGTAAACATCCCCTGGATGCCTTTCGCCGTTTATCTGTAAGAGAACATTTTTATTCGCAGAGTTGAAGTAACGAGAACGTAATTAATGGTGGAACGTTTTGTAAAGCCAAAAAAGGGATTTTGCTATAATAGGAATGATCAATAGACAGTCTGTAACGGACGTAGTTGTGATTCAATTTAATATTAGAATCTACTAAAGGAAATTTGTACATATAAAAAACTACATTGTATGCTGTAGTTATTTTTATCATAAGGTACCGTTTTATGAGAGAACAAGGCTGAAGTATTTTTATTACATACTAACCTATACATTTTTTAACATGTAACGTCTAAATTTTAATTTTATTAACTATATATTCCTGCGTTTTTATGAATTGATTATATAAATTTGTACCTATTCAGTGAAAGAAGAATTAATTGAATTCTTTCCTGTTTTTTACCCATTCAATCAGAGCTATGTAACATTATTTTCTTACCGATTGATATTTCTGATTGAAATTACGCATAAGTAACTATTTGATTGCTGCTCTTATTTAAATTCCTACGCCATCTAGATATTTTCTTTGTAATCCACTAGTTTAGTTGTAAGTTGTTTCTGTAGTAGATTTCTTGTTACAATAGTTTGTCGATAGGGGTCATTTAACTGTTAGAGCTTTCTTATTACAATATTTCTTTGTGTCGCCTATGGAGGTCGTGCAGAGGTTTTTTTAAAATTCGTTTCGGCACACGCACTTCTTCACTTCTTTGTACAAAACCACTTTCAACCATTACTTGTAGACGGACGTACGTAGACGCCATTGTGGCTGTATAAGTTTAGTGAAACCTTTCTTTTGTTATTTTGCTTTCGACACTTCGCTGACGCTGTTTGCGGATATATTTTAAGTTCTAAGGCCGTTTTCGGTATGTACCAAAAATTACGCCTTACCCTTGGCTTTGAATACGCGTTCTTTAGGCTTCTTACTTCTGGTTTACTCTTTTCTTCATTATTACCTACTTCATTGTTGCTTTCTACATCGATATTCCTGAGTGGAAACCGCAAAATTTTGGATTTTCTTAATATTGCTCAAGAAAAATTCATTGAGAAGTTCCACCGCCTACTTACAAGCACGGTATAGATGAGTTTCTACCTTACCGGCAGATTCTAGTCAAATTAATCACGTGGTGCCAACATTACCTGTGACCTACTTATGTGATACGTTGAATATTATAACTGCAAGTATAACGAAACCTTTTTTGAGATTAACGATCTTATAAATTGCTCCGATATATCTGATTTTACTTAAGCTACTTATTTCTCTACGAAGAATATACCTTCTGAGACCCGACTTTGTGGACGATTAGCTTTGTTACCATTCCTGTTAGTTTGATTAGATTGTATCCTTCAGATTGGCTGTGTTATGCCGATATTAGCTACCGTTGCTTTATAAATTAGTTTTTAAAGTTACCGAGACTTTGTCCGAAACCAATATCAACCATTTTTAGTTACGTTACTTGTTTTACCGAAGAGTTGCTCATTGTAGCTTATTTACATCCTGAATTAATACAGTGATGTCATATAGAAATTTAGTTTGTAGTTTGTGGATCGTAAAGTACTTTATTAAAGATAATGTCACGTTTATGCTTTTATACTCAGATGTTGTAAGCATAATCCGCAGTCGAGTCAAAATTTTACTTTTGGTTAGTTAACGTAAATTGAATTATTGATCCTTATTGAGTATTAATTACAGTTTAATATCCGGTTGCTTCAGTGTCAGACGTTAGAATTGCTTATTGCTTACGAAATATTCTATGTGCCGCACTATTCACTACCCCTTTTATTTGTTTGTTTGTGCTGCTGTCTGTTACAGATTACGCTGAACGCTCCCTTGTGAGCTCGCAAGGTCAGTTTCTTATTTAAAGCTAGTTTTAGTGGGTTTGAAGTGAGCTGTGCGTATATTGTTATTAGATTCGATATTAAGTTGAGGTAAGTTAAATAAACCGTGACCACGAAAATTAATCTAGTTAATCTAAAATTTGTAGGGAAAATTGTAAATAGCAAAATCTGTAAAGGGAAACGTAATTTAGAACTCTTTCACTTTTTCGTAAGTATTGCAAACCCGTTGCACTTGTATGCTTGTATTTTCATCTGTACTTTTTTCGTATTTAACTATTTGGAGCCGATATGCTGGAGCAGAGCAGTACCTTTTTGATATTCTTTAACTCGTTCTTTAACTGTGATCACTTGACGAGTTGTTTTTGTTTAATTTGAACAATTATAGATCCGCCTTGCCTTTCATTTTGTAGGTACTTATTATGTCACTTGGATCATGTTTTTATTAATTTGATTAACTGCATGTATCATTTTACTAGATTTTTATTTGTACAATTTAAGATGCGAGTTGTGTATTTCTCTTTTGCATTTATTTCGTAGTTGGTTTGCTTATTGTAGGTATACGTGTGTATGCTAGATATCTTTTTTGCTTTTTTTTTACATAAAAGACGGTCACTGGGGGTCGTACCAGCCGATCTGTTTAGCTCAAGTTCCTGAAATAAAAGGAGGTCGGCCCGTGTAGCGCAGTTCAGTGGAAGCTCGACTGCGGTACAGGGTCCCTGGTTCGAATCCGGGTTCGGGCATGGATATTTGTAAATGTATAGTGGGTTGGGTTGGTAGAGCAGCCTCGGCTGAAACCCCGCCCACTTAAAAATAAAGGCAAAATAAAATAAAAAAATAAAATAAAATAAGAGCACTAATTCAAAACAAAAGGATACAGGTTTTGTGAAACGGGTCATAAAAATGGTGTTGTAGCTAGAGTATGCCACGCACTAGAATTGATTTTAATTGAGTTTATCTTTAACAATCACCATAAAAAAAATGGACCTCAGTTCAGTATCGTGTTCCGTTAAGGTTAAGGTAGGTACTATTAAATGTATTAATAATTCGGTCGGCCGTTTACATTGGCAATGAAAACATTCCGACAATCGATGGCCGATCTTTACGATGACTATACAATAAGCGCGTGATTATTTTTTCGTGTTTCTTTAATGGGTATTGTGATTGTAATCACTCACAAACGCACACAATTTCCAAGTCAATATTTGGAAGGGCAAAGCTATTCATTGTCGTAAAAGCGTGAATCTCAAAAAATATTGCACATTTTCCTACAGCTTAGCACAGTTCACTTTAACCCTTTAATGTTGGTACTATGGTTGGGTCTCCCACTACCAAATTGGCAACTTACAGTGTAGGATGAAAAAATAAAATTAAATACTTACCGTCACGAGCATGCTACTTTGATCGAAATAGTCGGCGACGGGCATGACGTTTTTGAAAAAATTATTCAGCTCCATTCGGGCCAATGAAAGCACTACTTGACCTAATTTGGCACCATAGTCGATTTGACGTTCTAAGACCTTCTGTCTCCATGAAATTAACACTGCTCCATTTATTATTTCAATCTGAAAGTGTAAAAAGATAGAATTACAATAAAGGCATATGATTCATACATATAATGCCTATGCATGATATATGCTCGTAAAATGAGGTGATAGGGATTTGGATCAATTTTAAAAAAGACAAGGTCTGCGCTAGAACTAGATTAAAGGTTGTTCGAAATATATTATTGTCTAAACAACGTCGGATGGACGTTATTTAGTCTGAAATAATACCGAAGATAATAACGGACCATCCTGGATGTGCGAATGCTAGTACGAATGTTTAATTTAAATCTGGAGGATTTGAATCAATCAATTAATTTTGTTTATTTGTTTAATTTTAGCATTTGCCCTCGCACTCCCAGCTACCCTTACTTTAAAAAAATTAAAAGGCCATAAAATTCTCTTTAGAAATATTATCTATCCAAAAAATCAAATTTGGATGGCTTGGCTATATGGACTAATTCCAAAAGCTAAAAATAAAAAATACAAAATAAACGAATTTTACATATTTCACATTTAAATAAGTTTGTTATCTTTTGGAAAACATAAGTTATATCAAATATCCTCAAAAAACGACGACAGAATAATTAACGTTTATAGAAACCTAATTGTCAATTTAAATGTGTCATTGTATACATGAGAAATTCCTGGCATCTTCCCCTGTTTAAAACTTACATTCACCCCTCATTGCGAAACGAAATTTTAATCCAACCAAAGAAATGGTATTCATGCACATGAAGGATAAGCCAATGTTCCGTGTTTGACGTAGTATTTGACCGCTCGTAAAAACCAGCCTAGCATTAAATTTAATACGCACCTAGAAATGGTAATTTGCAACCCGCGAAATCAAGCAAGAATCTCCACTGTTCTACTTCCCTCGCTATCCGAATCTCGCCCACGAGAAAAACCGAAACGGGTCTTCCTTTCTGAAATTCACGTACTTAACGTAGTACGTGACCGATCGCGAAAACCAGCTTAAGATAAAAATGTTAACGCACCCAAAAATGCAAAGAAGCAAGAATCTCTGCCGTCCTACTTCTCTCGCTATTTGAGTCTCGCCCACGAAAAACCAAAACGGGTTTCTGAAGACAACAACCTCGACTAGCGTACCTTTTTAAACGAATAGTAAACCTACATTTTTGTCACGTGCCCGGCACAAAACGGTGCGAAATTTTTAGGTCTGAAGGCAACCGCGCTCGTTTTCCGTATTGCTATCGCTTCTTATCGCCAGACATACTTTTGTTCATGTTCGCTATAAAGCGGTGTATGTGTACATTTTGTTTAACAAAGCTATCTGGGAATTTTCGAATGTACTTTCATGATCGGTTTTGTGAACAAACACAATTGTAGCTGCTGGGATAACGAAAATTCATACCTATTTCCAGAGGATCACACCCAATTTCCGCAGAAAGTGAATATTTGGGCAGGTATTCTTGGGCATCAAATTACTTGTCCGAAATTTCACAACGGAATTATGTTAAAATTTATTGGAAAAGGTCGTAGGCCCTCTGATCACACAATCTTTGGAGAGTCAAGGGGACGACAATGGGGAAATCGTGCTAGACAACGAAGATTTGTACTTTCAGCAAGATGGAATTCCGCACCGTATGCTCTGGCTGTCAGGATTGGCAGAAGAGGTACCATAGAATGGCCACTGTGGTTTCCCGACTTAACCCCTATTGTTTCTTTCGTTGGGGAAATTTGGATAGCGGTGTTGCCAAGAATCTAAGAGCTAAGACTCCGTTACACATGGAAACCATGAAAACTAACATCTCTTCCAAATAAAATATACAATTTTTTCTTCAAATTTACGAAAATGTACCCAAAACACTTAATACGCGTTCAACCGTGAACAAATTTGGGCCAGCCACCTATGCACGAATACATACCTACAGGGTGCCTGAATTAGTGAGGTATAACGTCAGCATTCATTCTTTCGAATGGAACACCATTTATATTGTGGAAATTTTAAACTCGATGATACATTCTGGATACTTTTCGTACAGCATACATACAACGGAAGACGGTAGCCGAATTTTTGTTGTTTGAAAAACAAAATAATTTTACTCTGTGTACCAAACTTCTTCCACGGAATTACTATTCTTCATTTACTGCTTCATACAACTTCTAAATTTCGTGGGGCACATTATTACTATCACCTGGATGATCAACTATTCCGATGGCTAGGTTCAGGAAGAAATGTTTAGCTACGGCATTATGTACCAACCGCAGGATTTCTCCTAATGAGAACGTCGATTATAAAAAATTAAGAAACACTTTTTCCACCAGCACGATGTAGGTAGGAAACAATGCATTTTAGGTCAAAGAGAGCTAAAAAACTAGGAAATTTTTTATTTTTATATGTGTAAACCTTTCAGAAATAACTTCAAATTAGGAATGATTTTCTCTAAACAAATATGTCTATTGATCGCTATAACGTACGTGTACTTAATGAGAGTCCATTTCACTGTATAGTTTATAATGGTTTGAGCGATTTAGTTCCGAAGAGTAATCATGGTTTACCTTTACACGATTATTTGAAACATGTGCTTTTGAATACATAATGCATATTTCCCTGCCTTTGGGTATTCAATATCAACGTGTCCTGTATTGCTAACGTATCCTGCTTTTTATTATTTATATAATCATTAGTGTACAATGATGAATTGGGAAATTTAAGTCGGGCTATTTACTATTACTTATAGTGTGTATGGAAACGAGCACTGGGTTTTTGGAAAAATGGATTTCCCAGCCCACGAAGAAACGGAGGAATGTAGGATTCTACCATCTCGTCCGCATATATTGCCTTTTTTTGGAGTGCCTCCAAATTAAAAATTAATAAATCATTCCAAATTGAAATGCGCCACTTTACCTCCATTTAACCAGCTCACTTTCTCTTATAGTTACCAAGATGGCAATGCTAATGCATCGAATTGATAACACACGGTGTCTCAAGTAGGAAGTGTGGCACGGGTATTAATTTTTTTAATGAAACACCCTGTGTGTGGCATAGGTACCGTAGAGTAGACATAAGGTCGATGTCGATATGACGTAATAGAGGTAAAGGAAGAGTGAAGAATAGGAAGCAAGTAGACTGAATTTTTAGAATTTTGTTTTGTTTTAAAAGTGTTTAAAAAAAGCAGTACCTACCTATAAGTTTTAATTCCATGTTTATTATATGCAATTTTAGATTTAATTTTTAAATTTCATGTCCGAATTTGTGATTATTTAAATTTTGATATATATCTTGATAGGTTAATTGAAAGTCTAGCGTGCTGCTGACATTGTTTTGTGTGATTTGGCTTTACGCCTGAATTTTATAATTTAGGTACTCATTTTGTATGAAACGTATGGATTGCCCTGTGTGTTTGAATTAACCGTTCATGCCGTGGAGAAGAAACCTAAAAGAGTTTCAGTTTTACAACTCTATTTGCTACTTTTACACTCGTGGTGACTGCAGGACGATTCCCCATTCATTAAATCTACACATATCTGGAAATTCTTTAAGTAGATGCGATGTATCATTTTACGGGTTGCTTTTGTGTAAATTGAATAGTATATGTAATTAATGTGTTTTTACTAAATTGATCCATCTTGGTCTTCTTTTTGTATTTATTATGAAACTTCTATCTTGGTTACCTTTATGATTGTGTTGAAGTGAATAAAACTGAAAGGAGGAATTGCGACCGAAGTTAGGCTCTCTGTTGTACTTTTCTATAAATCTATGTGCCAAATAAAAAATACGAAACGGACCCAACGCAAAAAACGCAAATTCGCTCTTACCCAATCCGAAAGCACCCCTACAACCGCCACCGTTCTTAAGCCAGGGATCCAACGTAACAGTCGAGCTCGCACCTATCGCGGTAACAGCCAACGCTTTTTCTTTAATCGTTTATCGCTAAACCTCTTCGCGTTCCCCTTCCGTATGAAGCGGTACATATGTAATTTTACCTACATCTATAATTCCCTATTGAATGAGAAAAGTAAATGAACAATGTGTGTAGTGCTCGTTCATTGCGTGTCTATATGTTTTAGTCCAGTAAATCAGTCTATAAAGAAACATTGCACTAAAATCATATTGCATTTGCAACGGGAGCTCTCTAGCATTATTTTCTATTTAACATTTTCATTTTTCGCATTATCATTGGGACACACGCATGCATTTTTATGAGATTTTGAAGGGTAATTCTCCAAACTAATGGTATAGAGTTGAATTTTGTTAGGGTAACTCAGTCAATATTAGAAAGTATACAGGGTGTTTTCATTAGAGGGCTGTTTATTCCGAAATTTTATTATTTTGGAATTCAAAAAATCAATGGATGCTTAATGTATTTGGCGATCTACATTTTGGAAGTCATTGGCTACCGGATGCGCATATAATAGCCTGGGAAAAGGTATCCACATCAGTCTAACAGGCGATAGCACAATCTTAATGTCTTTTACGTGACCAAAACGACTGAATGAGAATTACTAATAGTACGAACAGACTTTTCCGGCGAATAAATCAGAAGTGACAGTTTCCAAGCGGCAAGCACGTTTGAAATTTCGTATAAATGAGTAAAATTTTTGTTAGAAAAGAAACGTAGTCACGATATAGGGATTACGTTTTCAGCACTCGTGGTAAGTAAAAAAATGCGGACATATTTTCCATTTTCCAGGAAATTTGTGCGATACGTATTTTTGCACGATTATACGGTATTGTGCGCGGGTGCACCATCCCGTTGAAACTGACAGTATCCAACTTTGTGTGCAGTGCGTCATTGTATTCGTAATAAAAAGTGCTATATGGTGATGATTTCTTCGAAAACGTTGTATTGAAAATCTCTCAACTTTGTCTTGTAGAGCGAAAGCAGTTGTAATGAGGAAGTGTTTCTTTAAATTTTGTTGTATCTGTTCAAATTAAAACAAAATCGGTAAATTTCCAGATGGGTTCGCGTGGTTTCTCAAAGATGCACTACTGGTTCAGAAAAGATTCAAAATGATGTACAAGGCAAAACAAAAAATTTAGAACATCAAAAACC